AAAGGAAACTCCATTGGCCACCTAAGCGAAATGCTGTAGTTAGGGTAAATCCAAAGACTCTAGCGTAGGCACACACACAGACTGCGAAGGTCTCCTGAGTTTTATTTTGAGTACGGGAGCTTTAGACGGAAGGATTTAAAAACCGTTCCACTTCCGGTAACACCGGAAGCGATTTGAAGAAGGCGCGCTCCGAAGAGAGCCGGCTAGCCACAGTGTCTGGGAAAAATGAAGTCTGTAAGCAGAACCCGGAGAAGCGGGATAATGTGTGAAATCCGAAGTCTGGGTTTACGCTGTTTAAAGTTGACTAGCTATAATAGCTGTTTTTTAGTGTTATTGGCCGGGCCTGCTAAACTAAGAGATATGGTGTCGGTCACGTGTTCTTACCTAATCGCTTTTGCTAAAAGCCCCCAAAGTGAAGGTGTTGCGGAATTCGTCTTTTGAGAAATGATGAGGATTAAGAAATTGTGGAAGCCTTTGGGGACGTTAGACTTGCGGCACTGGCTGGAAGTCGATATAATGGGGGATGTGGTAGGGGTAAAAGGTCGTTCCGTATTTGAGTGAACGCTAATAATGGAGGGAGACAGATACTGTGATAAGGAGGAGATAATCTGGCGCGCCCTGAACGCTAGTTTCTAATTCGTGAAAAAAAATAATTGGAATATTTATGATTTGTCAGATTGCTGAAATGTTAGACGACACGGTCCCTGCTATTCAGACTGCCCTGCTTTCACATTGCTGTCTTGTTTTGATTTATGCTGGTTTTATCCATTTTCTTCAGTGTGAGTAACGGGAAGAGAGGCTAGAGAAATAGCCCAGGGCCTCAGCAACCATTCTTACTGGAAGTGTTAAAAACCTTGAACTCTCATTGTTATAGGCATTAGAAAGTTATTAAAGGTGTTTTGTTGTTTTTAAATTATGAACGTACATAGCAAAGTATATGTACCTCTTCAAGAATAAAACCAACATGTGAGAAAGGAGCTCTCAGACCAGTGAGCCGAATAAATAGCATTACCATACTCCGAAAGTCCCCTACAAGTATGTCTCAGATCGTAACTCTTTTTTTGTTCTGAGACATGAACTAACCGTTCTCAATGGTAGTGTTCATTCTGTTCTTTTTCTTTATAATCATTTCTACCAATGCACAACACGGTTTAATTTTGCCTGTTTTTGAATTTTATGTGAACAAGAGAGGACTGTAGGGATGGTTCTGTGTCTTGCTTCTTAGGCTTAACTTTGTTTTTGTTATTTAGTTAGGGCAATACTTGAAGCTGTAGTTTATTCTTTTCACTACTATATGATGTTCCCTTGTATTAATATGTATTAATTTATATTTCACTCTATCATTGGTGGACATTTGCATTGTTTCCATCGTTTGCTATTATAAACAATGGTACTATAAACATCTTTGTATATATTTCTTCGTTTACACGTTCAAGAGTTTTCTCTAGGTTATGTACATGGGATTGAAGTGTAGGGTATGTGCAAGTGATGCTAAATCTTTCCCAAAGGCTTTGTGCCAGTTTATACTGCCTCTAGCAGTGGGTGAGAGTTCTCATTGCTCTACACACAGTTACCATTGGTATTATCCAAATTAGAAATTTCTATCACTTTGGTAAATACGAAATTATATCTAGTTGGGGTATTAATTTGAACTTTCCTTATTATTAATGAGGTTGCACATCTTTTTTACTTGTTTTGGGGCTATTTGTACTTCTGTTGTGAAACTCCTATGTAATTTTCCAGTATTTAAATTCATAACCATTAAAGTGTTTAAATTTGAGTAAGGATTTGATCAGATGTGCATTTTAAGCAATGGCAGTTGTAGATACTGAGTTTTTTGTTTGTTTGTTTGTTTGTTTTTAAGGACACTGAATGAATGACACATGCACTCTAGCTAATTCACTGTATTTCAACAAGAAATAACAAAATGGATGTGACTGTAAGAAACAAAAAGCATGTTTACCTGACTTGGGTAGATAACATGGACTATATAGACCTGCTTCTCAGACTTTAGTGTGCATACAGATCTCCTGATGAGATTGTTAAAGCAGAGATTTTGGGCCTCATCCCAGAGTTTCAGATTCAGTAGACCTAGAGAGGGGTACCAGAACTGCATTGCTAACACAGTTGCACTTTATGCTCATGCGGCAGGCCTGTGGATCGGACCTTTGAGTAGTACTGACTTCAGTTATAGCTGTTGGATTTAAGAGGTTCCTAAAATCCAAGACCAGGAGTTTTAATAAATGATGTGGGAGATGATTTATGGGCCTTCAGAGGCATTTTGTTTTAATGAAAGAAGACCTTTATGTCCCCTTAGATAAGTCACTAAAATTTTGGACTGAATGTCTTTTATAAAAAGGGAAGAATAATACTGGTTCTTCCTACCTTTCATAGTTGTCATGAAAACTCTTTAGAAAACCTAAAACCCTATACCAGTAATTATTAACTGAAAGTGTACACCAGAGTATCAACTTTTAAGAGTTTTATGCTCATGCACACATATCCAAATAATATATATATATATATATATATATATATATATATACACACACACACACACACACACACACACACACACATGCACACTCAGGCTACTTATATATAAAATAGTCTTGTAAACAAAATGCCATTTGACTCTTTAACTCAACATAGTGTAGTGCAGTGGAAGTTACTTGAGTACCCATATCAGGTATGTGCTAATTAGTGTGGATCCAAGGAGGTTCCATGCCCTTATTGAACTTTGTTTTATGACATGACTGAAATGTGTACAAGTAATTTTAATACATTGTGTTGATTGTAATGATAGAGGCTTGTTCTATGACTGTTGAATAATCTAAAAAGCATAGAAAGAGGAAATGCAAAGAGAGTATTGAAAGCTTGTAAATGCATGCATATAAATGTCCAAAAGGAGGTTAAAATCTGATGTGTAAGTTTTTTCCTATAGCTGAATCAGAACTTCTCACTGGCCCTGATGGATGGAAGAAATCAGCTTTTTCCAAAGAGGACAATCCCAGAGGACTTTTGGGGGGAGTGTAGTTTTGCAACTTTGTTGCCGAAATATAGGGAGATTTGCATGAAAGAGTGCTGGCCAGTGGTACAGAAAACATTTAATGAACACTCATGCATATTTTATATATTTCCTTGAGATTTTGCTCTGCTTATACCTTTACTTTTAAGTAAGAACTGATATTTGTGTGCTGGTGGATTTTTTTACGGTGTTAGCAGAATTGGTTATTTTGGTTCCTTTGGTATTTTAAACAGCCCAGATAAGCTTTATTCTTGTAATCCATTTGTTTTTAATTTTGTAATAGAATACTTTGAAAAATTCACATACCTTTCAAATTGTAGGGATTTCATGGATTGTCTGAAACTCATGTGTGAACTCCAAGTTTCAGAACGCCTGCTCTGTGCAATGGTAGTTGCCCTGTACGTCTACAGTTTGAGTTGCTTGATTTTCATTTTAAATGAAAGCTTTGGATGTGCCAACTGCCCCCTATTTGTTGCTGCTGCCATGCCTCTAGAGCAGTGTATTTGTTTTTGTTTTGGGGGGTTTTTCTTTACATGTTATTTTTTTTATTTTTAGAAAGAGGGGAAGGAAGGGAGAAAGAGAGAGTGGGAAATACTGATTGGTTGTCTCTTGTGGGCGCCCTGACTGGGGACTGAACCTGAAAGCCAGTCATATGCCTTGACCAGGGTCGAACTGGCAACATTTCATCGCTTTGTGGGATGACTCCCAACCAACTGAACCACATTGATCAGGGCAGAACATTGGCTTTTGTTTTCAAACTATGTGTTGAAATCCATTAGTGGATCCAGGAGGCAATTTAGTGGATATAATGAATCTTTTAAAAATGATGTATCGCATGTGGTAAGGATAATTTTATGAAGCTTTTGGTTCATTTATATGTGTGTATATGTATATGGGTACTAGGTTGTGATATAAAATATGTTTCTCAAACTGAGAGACTGCTGTGGAGTCGTTTGTGCCCACTGCGTATGAGGGTGGCTTGGCAAACTGCAAGCAGTGTTTTATGGCTGTCTGTATCTGGGATTGTTCTCTCTCTCTCTCTCTCTCTTTCTTTCTTTTTAAATCCACACCTGAAAACCTTTTTTTTTCCCCATTGCTTCTAGAGAGAGCAAAGGAGAAAGAGAAACATCATTGTGAGAGAGAAACATCAGTTGGTTGCCTCCCACATGTGCCTGGACTAGGGATTATACTATGCACCCAGACCAGGGCTTGAATTCGCAGCCTAGGTATGTACCCAGACTGGGAATTGAACCTACAGCCTTCCAGTTATAGGACAACACTCCAACCGAGTCATACCAGCCAGGGTGCATGCATTCTCAGGTGCTCTCTCTCTCTCACTCTTTTCTTTTAAACTCAGCAGAGACCCTAGCCTTATGTTGACTAGTTTGTTGAAATATTCTTCAGAATATGTTCACATGTCAAAAATAGCATTTTTATTTGCTTTATTGAAAACTGTTTTCCTACTGAAGGTTGTGCATAATTTCCCAATTATTGCTTTTTTAGGAACTTATGATAATTTGGTTTTACTTTGTACTTAGCTAATTAAAACTGGTTTGAAAAAAGTTGGAAAGGGAAGTCCATTCTCACCCTAAGGAGCAGAAGGTGGATTAGAGCAAGGTCCAGGATAGGGAAGCTGTACAGCTGTACATTTTTACCATAGGTTTTAAGTATGGCCTCATTTGGATCGATACATATTTTTTAAAGTAGAGATAAATAATCTTTATTTCAATAAGTACAAAGTATTCCAAAGCCAAGTAAGTATAAATGGTTTTAATTGCCCAACTTTCTATATTCTTGAAATATGAAAGTAATCAAGCATTCTTTATATTAGCTACCCAGCTTCTTCAAGGGTGGGGAGGGAGTTGATATAATTTTAGAGAGAGAGTAACTAATAGATTAGGATAGGCTCTATAATTATCTAAAATTGAATTCATTGTTAGACAACAGCTTGTGTGCTCTTTCCTTTTTGTAGCGCATTAACGCAACCCTGGACCTGATTGAGGGCAGCATGACTGTTTGCACAACAAAGAAGAGTTTTGATCCGCACATCATCATTAGGGCCAGAGACCTAAAAACTGTTAGCATGGAGTATTTCCTTTGAACAGGTAAATTTGCAGTTACAGAGAGTTTGCTTTATTTGTGCCAACATTAGAAACAACATAGAACACTCCATCCATCCATCCCTACTTCCCTTAATCCCCCTGCTTTCCTTCATAGAGTTTTCATTATTCTGTTTAGATGTCACTCTCACTTTTGAAAAGAAATGTGTTGGTATTTTTGGAGTATTTTCTTTTATTTTTCCAAAAGACAGTACAAATTCTTCAGGATGATGTTTCATGTGACTGATAAAATAGGTTCTTTAGTAAAAAATAAAGATTTGTAAAAAGAAGACAACATCTTATCCAAAGGATCTACATTAAAGATACTTTTTATCAGTAGAAAACTTATCTTCCTCTGTAACTAGTTTTTCAGTGTATTTCAACTGAATTTCAACTTACTATTCTTTTGATGTAGGCATTGGTTCAGGGAAACACAGTTTCAGCCATTGGACTTTTTAGAGACTTAAAAGAAGTTAGAACTATTTACTATCTTTAGTTAATTTTTAGCAGAGAACAAATTAAATAATTTTATTACATTGTTTTATGATTATTGTATTTTTTTAGAGTGTGTTTTATTTGATTACCCATTACTTTGTACTTTGTACTTCCTGGAATTTGATGGAGTCATTGCTCCAGGACCTTAACATATTATGGCCAACTTTAGACAATTATAGCGACATCTGTTTCTCAGTTAGAAGGACTGCCCACCATCACTCCTTTCACTGCAAATTTTAAATGAGTATCTAAGCTCAGTCTGTAGCACATATGGAAAACATGATGTAGTCACATGTGCTCAAATATTAGGGAATTGAACAGATCTTATCATTTGCAGAAACAGATATAGACAATAGAGACCAAACTCTGAAAACTTTATTTGCTTGAATTTATTATAATGTTTATTTAATGTTTTAATGAACTTTTTTTTTTAACTTATGTGAAAATGTGTGGAGCAGGTGCTGTTTCGGTTAATTTCTTCATGAACGTTATTTTAAACTTGTTATGAGGAAATCTATGGCACAGATACTGTTTGAGTTAACTCCTTTTGATGCTGCTATTTGGATCTGGCTGTGAGGCTTGCTTCTCCCTTTCCAGGGTCTTTAATGGAACTCTATTGGACCTCATTCTTATAAATTACCTGCTCTTTTCTCATGGGACAATAATAACTTAAACTTTATATTTCTATAAAAAGTGTAAATATATTATTCAATTCTTACAACAGATCCTTGAGGTATTTTCATTTCTGCATTACAAATGAGAAAGGTGGAACAGGAAAATTAAGTGACTTTTCATAAAAAGTGACAGTCTCATTATTTCAGCCCATGTTTTCTGACTCCAAATCCAGCCCTCTTCCCCCTAAATCAAAGTTCCGGAGTGTTGTACCAGTTCTGTGTGTCACATTTTAGCAGTACAATTGAAAAATGTCATTGCACCCCAGGGAGGTTGACTATTATGAAAGATCTAGCAGCCAGTAAGAGCAGTTGAAGGAAATGTTCCTTCAATTTAGCAGCCATTGGCTGGTTTGTCAGCTATTTCACAATATAGTAATCCCCTTCTACCTTATACCTTGTTCATTAAAATCTTTATAAGTGACTAAATCACTTTTCTTTGCAAATTCCAAGTTTGAAAAGTAGTCCTAGCTACTATAAAGAATATTCATCCAATTTATAATATTATAGTGAGAGTTGATTATATTACATATTGCTATAACAGTGGTTATCACACATCTTTTAGCTACAGAAACCTTTCTTGAAATTAAATTTTTTATGAAAGTCTAATAGACAAAACTTAGCTATTTTGGGTAAATTAGAGGTAAAGTTCAGCTCACTCATCTCCACCAAAGTTCTGTAGTTACTTCCTTGGAAGCTGAGGAGCCCCGTACTGACAGGGGCACTGTGATGTATTATATAGTTCTAATTCAAAGAAAGGCCTCACAGAATTTGTCATAGATGACATCAATTCTATTTTCTTAGATTGTGACCTCATGTATTATATTTAAAGATGTGATCTTTCAGAATTCTGCTTTTTTTTTTTGTAATCAAATGAAGCCTGGAATATTTCAGAGTGCATAAAACCAGTTTGTTTGTTTTTTCAATTTAACACTCAAATTATTTAGTGTTAGCCTTTTGAGAGAGATCTGTTATATCCCTGTGTACACAGGTTCATGACTGTACTTGGAAATGTAACCGTGGTATAATGAGCTGTTTTATGATGGGTATTTGTTGAGCAGTCCACTTAAATTTGGTGACGTTAAAAAGTCTCTATTAGAATGGCATGAAAGAACAACTTTGAGGTACATCAGGATGTTAAATATGAGGAGAGCTAGTCATGCATCTGATGCCTGGTCTGCATCTTCTGATGTTCCAATGTCTATAAAATTCAAATAGAGTGGGGGAAATGTGAGAATACTGGTTTTGTCTGATTATGAGAAAGTTTGCCTTTTTTCCACCTGTGATATTTCAGGTGCTACTGACAGCTTCCTGCTTGCAGGGAATATTGTTAAGAGCTCCCCCTGCTGTTAAGTTGAATTTTAAGGATTTAATGAAATAATGGTTGAAAAACTGAATTAGTCTCATTTTTATCTCAATTTATTTTAATAATTCTGAATGTCTTAATCTAACTTTCTAATGGTTTTCTGATGCTTGATTATTTTTGCATATCCAAGATTACATGTTTTTTTTCTTTATGGAATTGCTTCCAGGGGTGTCCAACCTTTTGGAGCCACACTAGAAGAAGAAGAGTTGTCTTGGGCCACACATTAAATACACAAACACTAATGAAAACAAACAAACAAAAATCTCATAATGGTTTAAGTAAATTTACGATTTTGTGTTGGGCCACACTCAGCCATCCGGGGCCGCATGTGGCTCAGGGGCTGCGGGTTGGACACCCCTGCTTGAACAGGCTAAGAACTGTTTATAAGAACAGTATCTGTAATGTCTGTAATTTGTCTTAATTTGACAAATATTTGACTTTTGGAATTAAAATTTTTACATTGTATATAGCATGACTAAAGACCTTAATGATTGACAGAGATTGGCAAAAAATTCTGAATTAAGATCACAAAATTGGGAAAGGTTTTTACCACAGTTCAAGCACAAAAATGTAAACAAATGCAAGGAACCAAAGGAAAAAATGTTTAGAAAGTGTATATACCATTCCCACCACCATAGCCAGAAAGTCAGGTCAGTATTAAATGTTGAATTTCATTACATGACGGGGAAACTGTTATAATCAATTTTGTTAAAAACTTTATTGAGGGTGTTTGTGGTGGAATTGCTCTGTGTGTGTGTGTGTGTGTGTGTGTGTGTGTGTAGAGAGAGATAAGAAAACTGAAGTTTAAATAGGCTTATTTTGAGCAAAGTGCATGAGGTGGGGCTTCACATTATGAATATAAACTGTATCAAATTGATTGGTGTTGCTCATGTCCCTGTAGCCACTAAAAAACTCAGTGATTTAGCCCAAAATGCTCTATTTTCTGCTTTGGCTTCATTCCTGTGACCATGAGCTATATGACTGCTCCAGTTTTGAAATCTGAAATTCTAATATCCTATTACTAAGCTATGAATGCCTCTCATTTCATCAGCTGTCGTCTGGATTCATTTCTTTTCCAAAATTTCCTTTTCTGTTTTGCCCATCATTTTCTTTCATGCCCCCTTTTCCTTCTGTCACACCCGCCCAGCAAAACTCTTAAACTTGATTCAGCCCTAAAATTTAACTTCTTTTCCATAATGTGGCTACCAAACATAGATGGGGAAAGTCATACCTTTGGATTATACCCACTATAAATTTATGCTTCCAACCTCAGATAGGTCCTCAGTATTTTGTGGCAGGTTTGTGAATCCTCTTAATTGTTTAGGCACCCTCTCACTCCTAGCAGATGGCATCGAATTTTATTTTCCTGAAATATTTGAGACCATCAGGTGTGAACTCTTCCAACCTCCTCTTCTCTCACCTACTTTTTTTCCCATCTGTATCCTTACTTTGCCTGCTCTTTTACTTCCGTCTTCACCTATCTCCTGAGGGATCTTACTTCATTATTCCCTCCCTTGGACACTCTTCCTTTTCTGCTAGTTCTTTGTGCTCAGCACGTGAACCATCCCTTTCTGGGGACTGTCTGCCTTCTCCGCAGCCCTGTGTTTGAAGTTGTTCGGGGAAGGTTTGATGAAAGATCAAAGGGAAAAGAATGATGATGGAAACACAGTGGAGGTGCTGAATCATGAGGTCTCCTCTGCAAAGGGAAGGAAGCGAAGCCAAAAAGAGACTGATAGTTGGGGGAAAGTGGAGAGATCCAGTTACTAAACGGTGCTTCCATAGCACCTGCTTTACTTTCTGTGGCCCTGTCCTGGAGTTAGTAATCATCTTGTCTTTCTCCTCTTCAGCGGTAAGCTTAGACAGTGAGGTCTCAGTTGATTTATTCTGCCACTTATTTGCTAATAATTTAATCTGTGCATACCTCAGTTTCCCCATACATAAAATGGGGATAATGATAACATCTATCTCAAAGAATTAATGAGGATTAAATGAATTAGTAATTATAAAGACCTTACAGCTATAGTTTAGAACATTGCCTTAGACATAATAACACTGTGTACATGCAAGATAGTTAAATTATCAGTCAACTATGTAGTGAATGAATGAGCTGTAGCTTTCTCTTACTAGTGTTTCATTAGTTTTTCAAATCCCAATAATTCTTCTTTTCTCTTTTGCATGTTACTAACTTTATTCCAGCCTTTCATCTCTTCTCCATTCTTCTGTACCTTATAAAATGCCGCTTTGATCTCTTTACTCTTCTCAGAAACTTCACTCATTTCTAAATCATGTCATTTCTAAACCTCCTTCACCCAATATTCAAGCTTCCTCAAGACAACTTTTCCAGTTTCCCATTACACTTTTCTGAATCATCGGCCTTCCACCCTGCATAAAGCAGCCTGTGTGTATTCAGTGAACACATCACCTACTTTCCTACCTCTGTGCTTTTGTGCATGTGTTCCCTTCAGCTTAGAGTACATTTCCTTCCCTTTTTCTTCTTTGTGAATTAATCGTAGATTTTGGGCCCCACTGTCTTTACCTCATGAACATTCCTTATTTAGGGAATGACTCTCATCTATGTTATTTCTGATGTAATTGTAAATACTGATTTCAGCAGATTGATAAAGAACTGGCTAGTGGTGAATATTTTCCTGGAGGCAAGACAAAAGAAGCTGCAGAAAATGGAAGCAATAAAGGTAACACTGTCTAGCTTACAACTTTAATAGCTAAGTGCATAGAAACTTGAATTCTTAACTATAAATTGTGTTTTACTAATATATTTTTATTAATAAGGTAGGCTAAACAAGCAGAATCTCTTAGTAAGAGACAAGAGGAAAGAAAGTTTTTATTCCACCTAAAGAAAAACCACTGTTGAAGGGTAAGGAAGGTAAAGCTTATCTTCCAAATCTTGGTGTGATGATAAAGTCTGTTATATTAAAAGTAAACCCTTAGTGAATTTACCTAAATCTCTTTGAGAGTTAAGTAAAGAAATAACCCTGTCTTCCATTAATTCATACAGCATTTCATTAATCACTAACCCCAGGGACAGGGGGCGACTGAGGTAACGTACAAGTTAGGAGCAGCGGATGCCTGTGTTCAGAGCGCCCCAGACTGCCAGTCCTCTCGTGGCCTCTGGATGTGCTTTTGTTTTGAAAGACATAAACCAGTGCAGTGACACCTCTGTAAAAATAAAAGTAAAGCCCTGAGATCCTGAGCTCTGCTACCATGCCTCTCAAAAAGGCATTATCAGAAGTTGTGCTTTTCTTCTCTTATTTTGATCTGTGGCTTAAAGTTTCATTCCTATATTGTTAACGTGGATTTTCATCACCCTGGGCTGAAGGACAGCAAAAATACAGGGAAAGTTTTATTCAGGGGCTACTGAACAGATGCTCCGAGGAAACACTCTTTGCCTTTTCTTCTCTGTTCTTAGTCTCGTTTTGGCTCATCCTCTCCCTTTTGCATTTTCTTTCCCTCTAGTAACATTGTGCTATTTACTCATAAAGCAACTCTGAAAAGTGGCCAGTGGCACATGAGGGAGGGGTGTCCCTGGCAGCATTGTGCATGACCTGTTGGTCACAACCAGATACAGCATTACTATTTGATACAGTATCTTACATTACATCAGTGTTAACTGCAGCAAAAATACAGAATAGGGCAAAAGTAGGTTTACAGTTATTTGTATGGAAAATAGTACACTAATTAATACATAATACAAGAATAAACTCTGTTTTGTGTACTTGCAACTATAAACCTACTTTTGCCTTACCCTGTAATATATTTTGCTATGAAGATTGTTGGGTAAGTAAAAGCTTAAAATGTCATAGCATTATATTTCTAGTTTGTACAGTCTGTCACTTCTGTACTTTGAAGGTAATTCAGTAGTTAGTTTAATCTCAGTTTGTTAGGATTAAAAATGTATCTGTTCCACTATAGTGAAGGCATTAACACTCTGCTTCTCAAGTTGTTGAGTAGATTATATGATATTTTATCTTGTGATTCTTTTTGCTCTGAATACTGTTCTTTAAATGTCAAGAAGTTGTGTTGTTTTTGCTGCTTTCTTTCTCTATTTTGTTCAAGCTTTTGGCATTGATTAGATTGTTGAGTTCTGTTACAAGGACCTATAAATATTTTCATATTATTTTAGTCGTTCAGTGAACTAATATTTGGAAAACTTTTAAGTTTTTATGTGATATTAAATGAAGTAGATTTTGACTTAAAACCTTATGATTAGTTAATATTAATGAAGCTGGAGGGACTACATGTAATATTCTTCATGAAATGTAATTTTAAATTATTTTAACTTGCAAGATGGAAAACTGGCATAGTAATGAACATTCTAAAGTTCCAAAATATGGAAAAGAATACAAGTAAAAATAATCTCATTTCAAGTATGATATGAGGGGAAAAAATGTAGTTTTAATATAGTTGAATCCAATAATTTGTTTAGATGACTAACCTGTAATACCATTTTCATGTATAATTTCACTAATGTATTTTTATGATTTTTTTCTCTTAAAGAAATTTCTAACTTTCCTTTAAGCAGATGGTAGATGTTTTATATTATATAATATAACCTCCCAATTTCATAGCAGTATTCTGAAATTATTGTCTTAAATACATATTCTTTATGTTTTATTTGGTAAAATCTAAAGAATTAAATATATTGTGTTTTTAATTTGTCTAGCTTCTACTGAAACTAAAATTGATGTGGCTGCCATCAAGGAAAAGATTAAGAAAGCAAAGAATAAGGAAATGGGAGCTCTCACAGCTGATGAAGTTAAGCTTAAAATGGAAACAGATGAAAAGAAAAAAAAAGTAATACACAAAAACACTGAACTAGAACTTACTAAGCTCTCTCCTTTTGTAAAGGACTTTGAGATACTAGGGCATTAGGTGCCTTATGTATAAGAAGTAATACTCTGATTACTTTTTTCTTAGTTTATTTTGTTCTTTATAAGAGTGTTTATATATACAGCTGTTCTTTATAAATATAAATTATTATATTTTCCATGTGTTTTTTGAAAAATTTTATACTATAGAGTAGGGGGGTGTGTGTGTGCATCTGAATACATTGCACCTAATGTCTTCCAGGCAGGCCTGGTCTAACATGATTTTAGGAGTACTTCTTTAGGTTGTTTATGTAAAGATTTTGAAATGTGGCTGTTGTAATTATCCATCAAATCAAATGTCTGATGATGCTATTGGTTAGTCTTTAAATACAGCTATGTCCCAGCATTTGGTTTTGAGGAAAATAAATGCAGATTTTTCAGTACTCTCTATTGATAACAAATGTTTAGGCTTATGCCTCTTTCCAGTCTCATTTTACATTTCCAACATTTACCCATAAGCAAAACAAGGCCTATTAAGTCAAATCCCTTGATTACTATTGTTTTCTGAGTCCAGGGAAATGATAAGAAAGACATCAAATTGCAAGTGGGTAAAACCAGATATTTAGAGTTGAGTCAGGATGCAAGAAGTTATGTAGAAATGTTTTTACTACTGAAGGCAAAAGGACTTATGTAGAATTACCTAAAACTAGTCCACTCATTTTAGGTTACTTACTGAAAGTCACAATTGTGGCACCTGGAAAACAGTGCTTAGTCATAGAAAAGTGGAAAGCAAAGATGAGATTACCCTGTAGAGTTAGGATGTTGAACAATTTCTCCTTTTAATTATGGCTTTACTGTGGCAATGTGTTTTGTTTTGTTTTAAAGTTTTTATTTATTTTTAGACAGAGGGGAAGGGAAGGAGAAAGGGGGAGAGAAACATCAGTGTGTGGTTACCTCTCACGTGCCCTTTACTGGGGACCTGGTCCGCACCCCAGGTGTATGCCTTAGACTGGGAATCGAACTGTCAACCCTTTGGTTCGCAGGCCGGTGCTCAGTCCATTGAGCCACACCAGCAAGAGCAGTAATGGGGTTTTTTTTTTTTCCCCTGGAATATATTAAAATTAGAAATATACCCAATTTTCATTTTTAAAAAGTCATCTGTAAATGAGTTTGTAAACTTTTCTTCTTAACTGTATTAGCCCAAAAGACTTAAATGAGGCCATTTGTGCCTGACCAAAATGGTAATAATAGCACTCAGTATGAGTATTGGCGGGCTGACAATAAGAAAGAGAGATAAGTGCCTATTACGTGAATATATCAGCCAGTCTGGATACACAACAGAGTAGAAACCTGTAAAACAAATATCTTCTTAAAAGTTGTTTCTCATAATGCAGTAACATAATTCACAAAGACCTTAATGAAACAAGATTTATATACGTACGTGTGGTTTTGTCTCTCTGTGGGTTAGCTATAAAGTCAGAGAAAAGAGAAGAAATTAAAAGAGTAGATACTGATGAGGCTTTTGTTTTATTTTAAAAAGCCAAGTTTCTACTTAAAACGATTAGCTGTTACTTTGACTTTATTGCAGTTGTTATCAAAGGTTAATTTTTAAAGATTTTATTGTATTAACTGCTCTAACTCGATATTTTTAAAGCAACTTTTTGTATAAACTTTAGACATTTTATATAACACTATAAATGGTAAATCATTTTACATGCCATATCTAACAGATAAATATAATTAAAATAAAATTAAAACATTGGAATTTCAAAATAAGATAAAAATTAAATATTAGTAATATTAAGTGTGAACAATTAAAATATTTTTTTCTGAAAATAAGTTCCTCCCCTAGAGAAATGATCAGTCAGTAATAAAGAGACAGTGGCCTCTCTCTCATCCATTCCCGTATGGCATTAAATTATCAATAGGACATTTCACAGTCATAAAGTCATAATTATTCCTCTCCTTTCATAATTACTGAATACACTGAGTTGTATTCAGAATTTGACCTTCAGAGCACCAGGAAGAAAACTCCACATCTGCCTCAGCCTTCTTGATACCTTTATTAGTCAGACGTGTTTTGCACACCAGTTCTGCTCCAGCTGAGGTTGGATTCCTGTGGTGGAACCAAGAAGGAGCTGACCCCCTGGGTCCTTGTGAGCATCCCTCATCATCATACCTGGTATTGGGCTCTTTCTACACTCAGTTACTGTGAAGCTGCTACTTTAACTTTCCTTGGCAATTATATCCATGAAATCAAGAATATGATGTGCTACTTACATTTTTTTCCATATATATACTTCACATGTTAAATATTCAACTTGAATAGTGAGCCAAATATATCCTTAAACTAGCTAAAACCTTCCTGTGTACTGTCCAGTAAGCCCAGCACATTTCACAGAACTGTCCTGGTTGGCCTCCATGGATGTCTATTGAACCCAATGGCAGTATCTAGAAGACCACAAAGGAGCTTTTTCCTCCAGTGTTTGCCGTTATTTGTCAGAGACGGACTCAGTTGAGTAAAATCTTTTATCCTCTAACCTTTACCCCCTGGACAAATTAACATGTATTTTCCTTTTTTTTAAGAGCCCAGGGTCTTTTTATTACTGGACTACAGACTTAGTTTTCTGAATTTTACTCCACAGCATTAGAGACCATCTCAAGCTGGATCTCCTATATCAAGAGCTAAGACTCTATCAGTTTTCTTCTTATTGTTACTGTGTTGTTACTAATTATCTAAATTTTTTAAAGGAAGGGTTTTTTTGTTTTTTGTTTTAATTTTGTTTTTGGGAAACGTGCACTCCATTAGTGCTTATTTGCCAGCTGGAATAGTCACCTTGGCTACAAAGGTGAATTAAATAGGCAAAATTCCTACCTGTTTGGAACTTAGAGTTCAGTGGGAAAGACAGGCAACTAACCAATGGCAACAATGAAATTATTCTTTAAATAATTTAGAATAATGGTCCGAGTTTGAATCACAGATTTTAAAGAGAATTGTTCATGAGCATAAAAAAATTACCTAAAAGTTTGGACATGAAAAACTACCAAAACACCAAGAGTAAATTCAATATTTGGGATTATAGGGAGGGTGAATTTGAGGATAATAGAAAATATTTATTGAGTGCTACTGTATGCTAGGTCCTTGTTTTATGTATGTGTGTGTGTATTTTGTTTCTTTGAGTTTTTTCACCCATGCTGTGAAAAGTATATCACTTATATTTTATCGAGGAAATAAGTCCAGACAACTTTAATTTGGGACATGTTTCTTTGTCTCTGCACTTTGGCTGCCTCCCTGTGTTTGTTTCTATGTATTAGGTAAAGCTGCTATTTCTCCCAGGCTTGGCAGAGTGGCCTTATATAGTAGGTGTCCTTAGGGTGGAGTGGTGCAGTCTCCCTGGTCACGTGAGTCGTGTTCTCTGGGAACGTCCCTTGTGTGGGTTGCGATGCCCTCCTGTTCCGGTTGAGCCTTAATCGCTCATGGCACATGGGTGGGCGGGATTGACCCTCATGCTGATTTTTTATGAGCACTGGCTGTGGTGACAGTGTAGGAGCTCCTGTGCGGGGGTGGGCCTCATGGAGCAAGATTCGCCCTAGCAGGGCTCTGGTGCCTGGAGAGTCTGCCCTTTAAGTGTGTCATTTATGAAGATACTGAATGTTGGCTGGTGCTCTGGTGTGGTCTGAAGTTGGCCACCCGGTGTGTGGGTTCCGGAGCCTCTTGGAAAGTGCAGGCCAAGATCAGCCAGTGCCTTTACCCTGCCAGGGGTCACCTGGTATGAGGTACAGATAGATCTGCAGTTTGCCACTTGTGCTGGGCTTGAAGGTGCCTGGGAGAGGGTAAGCGGTGACCCACATCTAGCTGCCACTGGTGCCAGGCCTCACGGCACTTACCAAGAGGTACGGGGCATACCAAGGGCAGATATTACTTGTTTGGGTTTGTGAACTTTTGAGAGATTTTAGGAAAGTCCAAAGCATAAGCCAAGACAGGCCGTTTATATAGAAAAACACTAGAAATGACTTGGGTGGGCCCAAAAGTTGGTGGGTTGGGATCTCTGGTAATCACCAGGGCAGGGAGAGCAGTGTTAGCTGGGTTGATGGAAACTCAGATACAGTGTCTGCCTGTGCCTGCAGGGGGAGGGCTCAGCAAAGGAACAATAGCTTCTGCCCACCCTCCTGCTTGGGAGAAAGCAGCCCCACCCTGCCCTGAAGCCAGACAACTCAGTGCCTCCCTATATGACCCAGGCACCTTTTGAGCAGGTGGCTGAGGGCTGGACGTCAGAGTGAATGAGTTCATGTAAGTCTGTACAGGCCCTTTAGGAGACACTGCTGGGACTCCAGAAGCCCTCCATCTCACTCAGCCACAATCTCCACTGGTTTCACAGCCAGAAATTACATGGGGCTGGGACCCCTGGCTTCTCACGGGGTACCTCTGCAGCTGAGATGTCCCTCCCGATTTTTAACCACCATACATGGGTGTGGGACCAGCTAGTTGTGTGTCTCCATCCCTCTTACCAGTTTTGATGGTGGTTTCTTTTGTATAGCCTTAGTTATACAGAAGAAGTTTGAGTTATATATAGAAGTCTTCTGTTCAGCTAGATTACAGGCAGTTCTCAGTAGTGATTGTTCTGTAGTTGTAACTTTGATGTGGTTGTGGGAGGAGGCAAGTACTGCATTTACCTACACCGCCATCTTGACTGGAATTCTGAGCATATTGTTTCTAAAGTCTGGTTTTTACTCCTATGTTACACTGCCTAACTCGTAAATAATAATAATAATAATAATAATAATATGCTTTCTAATGTTATATCAACATGGAAGGGAAAATTCAGGTAATATATTGATACTCTGAAAAGAGATTGTTGCATTTGGACTACACTTTACCAAGTTCCCTGAACAAAACTGATGTGAATGAAATGACGAATGGTTGAACTGGAGAAAAATGACTGACTCAGAAAGCTGATCAGTAAAGTGTTACTGTTCTTGGAGATGAGAGTTAAGTGTTTGGGAGAAAGGGATCCTTTTAGGCCTCAAAGGGACCTTAGAATTGTAAACAGTGGAACACGTTTGCCAAACAATTTATGCAGCTAAACTCAGTCCACTCTGCCCTTCCTCTACCCCACCCCAACCTTGGAGCTCCAGAGTTTAGTTGGTTACAGATGTGGACACAAAAGTACTGCAGGATTCGCACAACTCTCCTGGCTTAATTGAGGTTTCCTTTCTTCACATCGTTGGGAGAATTTAAAAACATACTGGGATGAAAAGGAGTGTTTCTGGAAGAGGAAGCATAAATAAACTCCTGGCCAACTATGGATTATTATTTCAAATTACAAAGCAGAATTTTACTAGGATGTATAGTAAAACACCCGCAAAGTTACCTTCATTGACTTTCTACATTGTTTTTCCTTAAATGCTGTTTTGCTAATTTAAAGAATGCCACATTACGGCTTTATTTATTTACTTCTAGAGATGAATCTAGAGATGAAAATGCAAGCCTCGAGTGCCTTGGGCAAGTAGTATCAAAAAACTCAGAATCCTGTTGCTTTGGATATCTTTATTATACGAATTTTTGATCTTGTTGAAATTAGCAACTCTTGGGCGTGTGGTTTCCAACACCTTAGTAGTTTTTTTGTCATACTGACTACAGTTAAATAAAAAGAATAATATTTACTTCCTTAAATTTATCTTAAACATACTCATACCTAGTAAAGTAAGCCATTGGCTTGATTGCGACCTGATGCAAGCTTCCCTGAAAATAGCTACTAGGATAAAACAAATGTTTGCACTCTTAACTGTTGACAGTTACAACAGCTTCAAACACATTGTATTATTTGTAGATTGTTTCTTTTACTTACTGCACATATTGTCCACACAGTTGTCTTTCTTGGAGCAAGCACTGCAAATATATCCTTTTTTATATGGCCAAGTTGGGTAATTTCCTCTATAAAGTAGAAGAGAACTCCATTAGGAGAGGTGTTTTTTTGTGTGTATTTTTGCAATTGCAATTTACTATGGGTCCCCCACTAAATCATAGTACAGACATCCACAGATTCAGAGGGTTGATAAAAGAAGCGGAGAGAGGAAAGCAGAAATGGAAGTCTGTTAATACTCCCAAGTTTATTCCATGTGCCTATGTCTGTGAACCTGTGTCTTAATCTGCATCATCCCATTTAATTCTTAAGACAACCTGGAGAGGAAGATTTTTTAATTTCTGTTTTATAGCTAAGGAAACTAAAGGTGTAAGGATTAAGTAATTTGCCAAAAATCACAATATATATCACAATATATGTCAGAATCAGAACGAAACTAGATTTGTCAGGCTCGAAGGCAGTGCTCCCCTCCACCTACTGCCTGGCCCGCATGAGTGCTGCCATCCAAAACACTGTGCGCCTCAGAGAAGGCACGGGGACCCCCACTCACTGTCAGTCAGCGAGCCTCAGCGGGTTTTATGGGGTAGGAGCCATTTGGTGGGAAAAGTATTTAACAATAGAGAATTAGAAGTATGAGAGAATTTCTAAAGTGTAAATTGTTTTTACGTAAAAGATGTGACATGAATAATAATCACTGAGTACTCCTTATGTGCTAGGCACTCTGTTCTAAGCCTTACTGAATTAATCCTCTCACCCCCATCAGGAAGATAGAATTATTTCTTTATCCCCATTATACCTTTATACCTATAGCTAGGTACAGAGTGTAAGTAGTCCCCCAGTGTTACAGACTAGAAAGTGAAATAATATGCATGCATTTTACATCCCCATGAACACCTTCAGAGCAGCAGGGAAGAGCTGTGCATCTACACTAATCCTTTTTGGAGCTCTACTTTTGGAAAGGTGTTCTTAACTTTTTATGCCATAGTATCCATAGGCAGGGCCTATGGACTGTTTCTGAAAAGTTTGTTTTTAATGCCTGAAATAAAGCTCATATGATTATGAAGGAAACCAATTGCTCTCAAAATGTAAAAATATTTGTAATACAGTAATAGGTGCTTCTCAATTGAATATTAGATAAGATCAGGCAGGGAGTCTAATACCATTAATTTCATAACAGTGATTAATAAGAACTATTTTAAGATAATCTATTGTAACTGGAATGTGATATGGAAATATCTGTTATATTTACAAAGATATAATATTGCCAATACAAAGCTGATAAGACTGGAGTATTACCTTCATTCATAATGAAATGTAATAGAAGTTAGTGAAAATAGAGATGTTACTTTTTTCTCATCCAAAGCACAGAGACGCCCCTCCCCTAATACTGTACAGTTACCTCCAAAGTTAACCTTCCCTTTTAGAAATAATTTGTTAACCTTTCATTTCTAACCAAAAATGTATGTTCTAACCTTGTTTGGCCCAAATTAACTTAAGCTGTTTTGGAAATTAAATTTACCCTTATGCTTACTTTGTACAAGGAATGTATTCTGATAACAATTATACAGGTGTCCAAAATGGCCATTAATCATGAGAAAATCTTTCATTGTTAAAAAACACCATTCTCAGTGGTTAAGCTCTAGAATGTTTTTAATAAAACCACTTATGCTACTTCATTCTTTGTCTAATCGTGCTTTCCAAACTATAAAGGGAAAGATTTCTACTTCAGAAACAAACGAAAAATGATGCAGTTGAAAATTATGGGGAAATGGCAGGATTCATCTTGGGAGAAACACGCTACTGGAAAGGCCTGGGTATTTCTAGGTGGGGATGGTTAAGACAAAGGGACCTAAAGTGTTCTGCCCAATAAAGAAGAGGAAGTTTTAGTGTTTCCCCTGGTAGCCTGTGAGAAAATGGGTTGGGGTCCTGGCATTCTGGAAAAGAAAAATATCTAAATAAAAAGATTAGTGTGAGTAAGGCCCCCAAGGCAGCGGCGGCCACAGTACGCCGGGTACTGTACTACTTGAGAGCGTCATTTCCTCTTCTGCGCTCCAGCCCTCTCTTCCATTGGTCCACTGAGTGACGGTCTGTTACACAGCATAGCTTTGCTCAGGAGGGCCCAGGGGAATGAAGGAGACAGCTGTGTCTCTCTTTGGGATAATACAGATCAGACAGTCCAGAAGCAGCCAGGAGGAAAAGGGTCAAAACTGTCCTGGGCGAGTGACGTGAACGGAGGGTGTGACTCCAGAGCTGGAGTCCAGGTGACTGGAGATTAAGCATACCACACACAGCTCATTCTGAGAAAATCTGAAGTATTGGGAAAGGTGTTGGACTTCTTAGAATAATGTGGAATGGGAGCCTTTGACGTTTTGTTTATAGGAGAAAAAAACCATCTCAGAAGGCAGAAGGAAGTGACAACTTCTAGCTCCCTCACTCCCCCCGTGTCCTTCCAGTCTATCCTCCACACCCCATGCAGAAAAATCTCTGCATTTAAAGCAGGTCTTGTCATTCTCTTACTTAAAATAGTTGCATGGCTTCCTCTTGCTATATGCATAAAGTTTAATTTGCAGTGGCCTACCAGGCCCTGGAGGGCCTGCGCTGCCCCTTCCCAGCTGCATCTCCTTGAGCGGTCCAAGCACCCTGGTCTGTCCTTTAATCCTCCCCACAATTGTTTTCTCCACCAGGCATCTGTTCCTGAAGTTGTCACACGCCTGCTTCCTGCTCATTCTTCATGCCTAAGCCTAAATATATCACAAAGTTCTTCCCGGATCATTGTAGCTTCAGTAGGGCCTCACTATTGATAGCATTGGTTACAGTATTATTTCTATTTCTTTCATTACTCCGATCACAGCGCAGTTATTTTATTTGTATTTTTATTGCCTATCTCCCCCATAAATATAAATTCCATAAGGGCAGGGAGTATGTTTGGTTTTTTTTGAATAACCGAATATAAAAATGCATTTATTTGTATGATTAAATGAATGTTAATCTTGATAGAAGCATTATAACTGCTTATAAGTTTTACAATCTAATATTGTTTATAACTCTGAAGGCAAGTTAGGTGAGTCTAAACCAGGAGAATTCACATTTGTACCTCATTATTATAAGAACTATTATAAATACTTCACAATCATCATTGCCAGGCATTGCATATACTTGTTTCTCATGTAATTTTCATAGCTACTTGATACTGATCTTTTAGAAAGAATACAAATTCAGAGAGGTTATGTACTTTGTCCAAGCTCACATACACAAGTGAACTAAGGTCTCAAGAGCCTGTATCTTAACCATTGAGATACATAAATGCACACACACACACACACGGTCTGACACAAATGCCTCCTTTTTATTACAAAATCATAAGTATGTAGTTCTGTGACATAACAATGACACACTCAAGCACACCATATGACATTTTAGGTGAAATGTTCAAAATAAAACTATAAATTATTTCACCTATATCATACCCTACCACTCACACTCTTCTTCTGGACCCCGTATAGATGATATATGATAGATAGATAGATAGATAGATAGATAGATAGATAGATAGATAGATAATAGATAGATGATTGTCTAGAGAAAGTCTATCCATTGTTAATATAACAAGAATGATTGACGCAACATCAATGTAACCTGGGAGTGTAGACTGGAATGCGCATGTGTGAAAAGTGGTAACTTCACTGTACTAGTCAGTGGTGGCAGAAGATGCTGTTGAGTGAGCATGTGTACTGTGTGGCTGTTGCATTCGAAATGACTGAGCAAGTAGAGCAATGAATCTGCATCCAATTCTGCATGAAGCTTGAACATTTCTCTGTGGAAACTGGATGATTCAGAAGGCCACAGCTATGGGTAACTGGTGATTGGCAGCTTCATCTACAGTGCACCTGCTCATGCATCATGTCACATGCAGAATTTTTTGGTAAAATATCAAATCACCCAGGTGGCTCAGCTCCCCTACAGCCCAGATTTGGTGCCCTGAAATTTCTGTCTTTTCCTAAAACTAAAATCACCTTTGAAAGGGAAGAGAGATTCAGGGGAAAAAAGGGCAGCTGATGGTGATTGGGAGAACTCTGATGTCCCAAGCTGCCTATTCTGAGGGGGACTGAGGCATTATTGTCCTATGTACCATGTTTCTTGTATCTTGTATCTTCTTCAGTAAATGTCTCTTTTTTTATATTACATATAGTACATGGGTGGATATTTTCTGGACAGACCACACATGCATGTGCACGCACACGCGCATACATTATCTCCCACAATTATGTCAATTTATAGTATTAACAGTGGTAGATAATTTGGCTCTATATATTTAAAAAAATGTAAACATTATATCTTTTACTTAATATACTATTTCTAGGAGTTGTAGGGAAATAGATGTGACCAAAGACTTAGTTCAAGATTGTTCATCATATATTAAAAAAAATAAAATACAGGGGAACGTCTAAATTCCTCACTAGGGTGAAATGCTGTGTGACCATGAAGAGCACAGACTCCGGAACCAGGCGGCACCGCTCACAGTCCCGTCACGACGTTGGCTCACTGAGGGAGCTTGGGCAGGCTCTGCAGCCAGGCAGTTTTCTTCCCTGCCGCCCAGGGTAATAACAGGAGTTATGTCACAGGCTTTTGTGAAGATTAAATAAGTTAATACCTGTGAAGCAATCAGAGCAGTGCTTAGCACATGATAAGCTCTGTAGGAACATTCTCTCTCATTTTTTATAATTGATATTTTAATGACCTAAAAAATGCTCATGGTATAATTTTAAGTAAAAAATAGAGAACATGTATTTCTAGTATGATCTCGGTTTTCTAAATATGTGTGTGAAGCATAAGCGCACATAGAAGTTTATAGGAGGGTGAGGGGAGAGGTCATATAACTTCCCCATTTTCCAAAGGGAAATGAATTGTATATATTTAAAAGCAAAACTGTCAAAAATAAATTAGTTACATAAATTGAGAAATTCAATTCAGTTATTTGTTTTGACAATTGTACAAAAACTGCAAAGTTTTTAATAAATAAATATAAAATAACACCAAACCTCCCATTTTGTGGTTTTATTACCACACCTAATTGATCTATGTCCCTGAAAACACTTCAGTCTTGCTACTGTTAAAAATGAGTGCATGTATTTATGTAGTATTTATAAAGGGTGTACACACACACAAACACATAGAAAAATGTACCAGAATGTTAATGTAGATTTGTAGGCAGGGAAGTTAAGGCTAATATTTATTTTCTTTTTTACACTTTATTTAGATTTTCTGCAATGAAGATAAATACCCGTAAAATAGAACTTAATTTTTTCTTGTTTTAGAAAGAGATTGGTTTGGACACTTACGCTGGTCCGTAGTTGCATACAAAATGTGCTACGTTGGAGAAATCAAGGCCAGAAACTTTAGGACAATGTTGCACTGCACAGCCAACTTTGTAACTATCTGCCCAAATAACCTGAAAGAAAAAAAAAGGATATTTAACAAGAGATAGATAAACATTTGATTCTGATTAGACCTCCAGAAACATGGTGAGGTATATTCACTCTAGTTAGGTAGAACACATACTCCCAGGGAAGTTTTAGGTGCTCAGAATTCAGGTGGAAACAAGTCTTGTACATTATTATTATTTGTGCTGTGTGTCTGAAATAAACATATAAAAAATAACTAAGACAATTTTTGACAGCACAATGAAGAAACAGGGTAATGCGAGGGAGCCCCAGATGGGGAGGAGGAAGCGGCTTTGCTTTAACTTCGGTGTTCAGGCAAAACGTCTCGTCTCCGGGGAGGCGGCATTTAAGCTGAGAGCTGGACGAGGAGAAGACAGCACTGCAGCGTGAAAGGCTGTGCAGGAGAGCTACGTCTCGAAGAGCGCTCCACGCAGAAGGAGCACTCAGGGCGAAGGCGCTGAGAGCTGGGCAGCCGTGAGAAGGATCCCGTGGGTGGGGGAGATCTGCAGGCAATGAGGTCAGAGGCAGAGCAGCCGGCCACGGGGAACTTTGTATGTATGTGAATCATAGGGCCTTTTTTCATGTCTTGGAAAAGGTCCCTTTGGTTGTGATGAAGTAAATGGACAGAGAAGGGCAAGAGAAGAAAAGGGAGGATGGGACTTAGAAGGCCGTTGCTGTGGTACAAGAAAGAAAAGATCACACTTGGGTGATAGTCATGGAATTTCTGAGATCTGATCGGGTTTGTGGTTCAGCTTAGACATAAAGCTGAAAGTATTTTCTTTTGCTTTGAGTGTGAAGTGAAGAGGAAGGAGAAAAATCAAGTTTATGTTCTAGGCCCAAACAACATTTACTGAGGTGGGGAAATCGTAGGAGTAGGAAGATGGATGGGAACGGGGTCGGGCCTCTGCTCAAGCCGGCTGCTTTTGAGATGCCTATCGGATGTCCACATGCACACCGACTTTGCTGAGTAGAACCACCTGCAGCTCAAAGACATGGATCTGGAAGACACGACTAGATTAGATCACATAGGCAAGGATAATAGAAAAAAAAAAAGTGAGATCGTGGGATAAAGAACACCAACCAGCAAAGGTGATTGAAAGCAGTGGTCAGTGATATAGGAGGGAAACCAAGAACAGAGCAGCTTCAGGGAGAGGGTCCCTGTGACCAGAAGGGCTGCATGCTCGGTTTAATTCAATGCTGTCACATTTTAGCACTTTTAGTGGCACTATTTTCTTCCTTATTTATTATTCTTCCTTATTTTTCAACAAGGGACTCCACATTCTCATTTTGCACAAATTTTATAGTTCATCTTGACACTCATCTTGATGAGTATTTAGCTCATCTTAAAGAAAAAAAGTATTTGAAGAGCTAGTCTCTGGAGCTGTGCCAGCCGGTAAAAGCACTCCTTTTACAGTGATACCAAATTGCATTGTAAATTATTTTTAGTAGTACGTTTTTTGCAACTTTGTGACAAGAACTGTGCTGCACATGAGGGATGCAAAGGCGAATGGGCTGGAGTCGGTAGAAGCCTTCACAAAACGGAGAGAAGCCGCCAGGAAACCATTACCTAGGGCTTTCACACTGTGAGGGGAAGCAGAAGGTGTAAGGGAGTGTACAGCACGGGGCCTTCCCCAGGTAGGAAGGTGGAACGGAAGCTGGTGGAGCTGGGCTGGGAGCCAGGAGAAGTGTTCCAGCCAAAGGGAACATCTCTGTGAACCCAAGAAAGACTCAGAACTGAGACGGGGCCATGTGACTGCAGAGAAAGATCAAGTTTACTTGGAAAAAAAAAATCAATCATAAAATCCTCTCCTTGGAGAGAGAGTATAGAGTGAGGGACGGGGGAGCTGAGGATGCTTTTCCAAGGCTTAAAGGTGGAGTCTGGGGGAGGGGCGGAGCTAGCAGGTGGTTGGCAAAGGCTCAGGAAGGCCACTGCTCTGCTGTTCTATCTGTCCCGAGCCTCGGTTTGATAAAGGGGCAGGAGCTGAGGAGGCGGCTCTGGTCTCCTGCAGAGGGGCAGTGCTCTCCTTTGGCAAGGACGGCCCCCTCCCCGTCCCCCTATCCAAGTGAGGTGTTTTCCCTTCACTTCTCACGCCCAGGAATCCCCTGCAGGGAACTCCCGGTAACCAAATGACTTAGGCTTCTATCTCTTTGAGAGAACCTAGCTTCATGGTCATGAATTCTCAGGTTTGGCCTTTGTACTTTTAGTTTCCAAACATTTTTGTATTTATTTTAATTTTTTTTTTTTTTTTTTTTTACTCACTGCATCTCAAAGTGATTTCACCTGGGTTGTATTTAAAATGCGGATTTCTGGACACATCTCAGACCCTCTGACTGACTGACTGGCTGACTGAATGAATGAATGAATGAGTGAGAGTCACTAGAATTGTCTTAGAAATCTGTGTTTCAGCTCTGGTGATTCTTACTTATGCTAATTGGGTTCACTGTTTTCTATAATTCCTTTCCTATCACTTTAGTTCATTTTGTATTTTTTTTACCCTTTGGTCTTTGAGAACTTTCTTCAGTGTTTTATCTCAAGCATTCTTACTCTTTGCTCCCCCCCACCCCTTTAATGCTTTATGCTATTCTTCTTCTACTTTCTTTTATATTTCTGCTCTCTTTGTCTCCAAGAGTATGCAAATGTTAGTATTCATTTTGTGTTTTAGTTGGTCTCTTTTTTTAGAAGTCAGGTTGTAATTGACATACAGTAAAATCCATCTTTTTTAGGTATACAGTTCAATAAATTTTGTCAAAAACATAGAGTTGTGTAGCCTTATTCGTATTGAAGAACTAGGGAATTTCCATCACCTCCCAAAGTTCCCTTAAGCCCTTTTCTAGTCAGCACTATCTCCCCCCCAGGCCCTGGCAATCACTAACTTGTTTTTGTCTTTGTAGTTTTGCCTTTTCCAGAATGTTATACAAATAGGATCAGTTTGATTGTAGCCTTTGAATCTGGCTTCTTTCATTTAGCATAAGCCTTCTGAGATTCATTCATATTGTTGAAGCTATCAGTAGCCTCTCCTTTTCATTGCTGATTAAAATAGTTATTGCATGTATGTACCACAATTAATGTAGCCATTCAATTTGGTCTCTGTACAGCTTCATGGGCGTTCAGATTCTGAGTTAAATTTGTGAGCTCTGGGGCAGTAAAGTCTGAGTTCATATTCCAGCTCAGCCACTCACTGTGTGACCTTGGTCTTAATTAAATGAGGGTAACACCAACTCCACAGGCTTATTTTGACATTTTAACTGGGCTAATAAGAAAATGCTTAGAACAGCTTCTGGAACATAATAAGCACTCAACAAATGTTCATGTTTAATTCTCTTATAATTTTTTTGTTTTAAAATTTTTGAAAAAATTTTAATCAGGCAGATTGCTGTTATACATGTCTTTAATTATATTATTAAATTTGAAATCAATATTAAATAAATATTAATGAAATAAATATATAAATATTTATTATATATTATAATATATAACATTATATATTATAATATGGTGAATATTATATTACCATATAAGGTAAACAAAAAACATAATTATAAAAAAGTAAGAGCTACTCATTGAGAATTTAGTTAGTGCCAGGGAAATGTTAAGCACTTTACATGCAACATGATGTTTAACTTCATAACAAGTCAAGAAATATCTATTGTCCTGATTTTAATAGATGAGCGTTGGAACCTAATTCTACTTGACCAAGAAGTACTGTGAGCACAGTTCATGCCCTAAATAGGATGCCTTCAATGGCTTTCCTCTTTTAGCAGAACCAGGAACGACTGTCTATACTTTACTAATTAAAAAATAAAACAAAAAAACATTGCATTGGAGGGACTCAGTAGGAGCAGGCATGCTTATCCCTTCTAACATCCCCTTCCCACCTTCTTCCCCTTCCAGTCTCAGCATCTCAGAGTCCATCAGGTTCCTTATCAAAAGTATGGTAAACTTGCAGCATATAAAAAGCCAGCTAGAAAAATTGTGAAACGTGTCATATTTCCTTTGGTTCTGTGAGAGTGTAAAAGAAAATAATAAAAATTTCAAGAGGTTTGGTTGGGGTGGGCAGAAGTGGGATTGATCTGAAAACAAACAATAGCGCCTTCTAGTGGGCATCCTCAACACTACTAATCCTAAATTGTGACCCCGCCCAGGTACTGAAGTAAAACTATTTCCAAACTTTACAAAGCTGAACTACTAGCAACAAAATATATAATTTAAATACTCTTCCATATTAATATACCAAAATTCTTCCACAATACAAATCATCTGTAGTGAAGACAGAACGGAAGTGTTAACATTTTAAGAAGTACAACACCTTTGTGAGGTAATGATGGATCTGAATCTATTGTCTTTATACAATGACCCCTCATGGGCCAAGATCTGAAAATAACTTGTTTTTTATTAATAAAAGATGACAATAAGTTGGAGATTATAATACCCAATTGAGGTAGTTTCCAGCATGAATTTAAAAGGGCAAGTCTTGAATCTCCCAGCAAGGTTTCGTACAAGCAGAGCCGTCTTCCAATATAATTGTTGAGAAACCAGCTCATGGACGAAATGTAATCTTTGTTCAGTGCAAACTGAATACTAGTACCTTACTAGATAATTTACATATACTGTATTATGTAATCTTTATAACACACCTAATATCTGAATCCAGCTCTTCTTACCGACTAAATGACATTGGGAAAACAATTTCATAACTGTTCTGAGGCTGTTTATTTTATCGATGGAGAACAGGGCCTCTCTTATAGGTCTGTGGTGAGAATTCAAAGAGGCCTTAGATATAAGGAGCTAAGCGCCATGCTCATTTAAAAAGTAATTGCTGGTGATGCATCTTCCCAGACCCAGTGGGTACTGGACATGTTCCCCATAATGAGTGCCCCTCTTTTGAAGTGGGAGTACATTGTCTCTTAAAGAGGACAGGTTAGGATCACTCAGCCTGGGCTCTGATACCTCCATGCAAGGAAGATGATTTTAGGAAATGAGTTTTCCCATGACATAAACATTAGCCCTCCTTTTCCCTGCTAGATGTAAGGGGAAATTTTAGAAGTAAGCTTAGTTAGGAGGGCCATCTCTAAAAATCTCAGGCCTATGTGACATAAAATCAAGTTCTGTCTTCCTGGAATTATAGATATGGAGTGTCTTAACTTGCATCGTTTAAATCTTTTGTCAATTTGACAGTTTTTTGAGCTCTATTTGGTGTGCTAAGTTACTAGCCATTTTTCTGAAGTGCCAAGCTGATTTGTACACATTGTACACATTATGCACCGTGTTAATTTTGCCTGGCATTGTCATCCCTTTCCTTTTCATTTGACAAATTCTCACTTAGCTTTCAAGAACGGACTTCTATGTTTCCTGCTGTGTGAGCAACTCCTATGTCTCTATACCTCCCATTGGCCAGATAAGTAGCTCTGTCCTCTTTGCTCATATGGTACTTTGTCAGTTTCTCCAAATTGCACCATCCAGGTATTATAATACGTCCATTTACACATATGTCTCTTCCCAAAGAAGGCCAACTGCTAAGGGTCAGGGCCACCCGCAGCTCCGTCCCTCAGTCCCTAGCTCAACCCCTGTTCTCCCCACTCCTACTTCTCTGCGGTTGTACTCCCCCGTGCAAATGTCAACACGTAAGCAATCTCCGGGGCTGTTTTTCTGGAATCGGGACTAATACATATGAGCAGTGCCTTAGTGCCTGGTGTAGGATAGAAGCCTAAACACTGCCCGAATGAGAGTTGGCATCCTCAAGCTGACCATTTCTGGTGATTTAAACACCAAAATGCTTAGTGTTATGAGGTACCACTTGTAGGCAGTCTGGATTTAGCTTTCTTGTCCTCTTGGACTTGTGGGAACTCAACAAAATTTATTTTCTGGTTAATTTTATTTGTAAACATAAACCAGAATTGATAGTTTATGAGATAAGTCTAGGGGGAACTGATTTATATTTCCAAGACATGGGCTAATGCTACTCATGATCTCAAAACTCCTCCTTACAATAATCTTGAGATGAAAATTTCACTGAAATGAGTCCTGGCCTTCTCATCATAATAATCCCCTGTAACTTTGCCAAACTTGTCTTACCTGTAATAATGCCAGCGAGGTCAAAGGCTTTATAAGGCTGAACTGTATTGAGAGTTTTTCTAAGAACATTTGCTCTTTAAAAGCACTTGATATTCCAAGTTAGCTGCCTTGTTAGGAATGTTTTTGCCATCATACCGCATTTCAACATATTCTTGTACATTGAAACCAGTCAAACCTAGATTGAGTACCTTTAGTTATTGGTTTAACAAGGACTGCCAGGAAATAAAAGTAAAGAAACAAAATGTGTTCAGGATAGGAAGGTAGCCTATCAAGAAGACTTTAGAAGATGCTTCCTCGGAATTTCTTTTCATAATGTTGTCAACCCGAGTTAGGGTTAAAGACCTAAAACAAGCTTAAGTAAAAAAAAAATTCTCAATGGGAGGCTTTGGATTTGGCTTTGGGACTAATACCATCAATTTTGGGGATATAAAAGCCACACCATGGTATATACAAGTTCCTATGTTGGCCTTTCCATAGGGGGTGTGACTGTGGGTTTCTTTTCTATTATTGTGGTACTAAATAGTTCTCAATCCATTTTTGAAAGAATAAGAGGATACGAAAGCATTAATTCTTATTGATACTTCTGCCTGAGAGGGTTATTTCTCCCAATTTTATAGTTTCAAAACAACTACCTAAATTTTGTAGAGTGCTCATACTTGAAAATCCACTCATAGTGTCCTTTGATTACTCGCAAATGGAATAAAGGCCCACAGGAAGATAGCTGTTATCAAAACTGTTCAAAACCTTGATGGGCCTCACATTTTACCTATGTCTACTTAACTAAACTCTTCAACTACTATCATATTTGGCATTAGAGCCTGTTCCACTTATTTGTTTTTAAGAGTAAGCCTGTAATCCTGACTGTTGCATTTTTATAGATGTACTAGCTTCCTGTATATTTTATTAACACTAGGCTCTGGTGTTCTCCTCACCCATGAAAAGGTGGTTTCAAGAGAATATATAGTAGGTCCTTACCTGAGTGTAGTGGCCACAGACCTTGCTGCATTTCTGAGTTGGGAAGTCATAGTATTGAATTTCATTGTACCAGCTGGTGATGGCTGAAGACACAGAAAAGATGGAGACAGTCCCAGTCCAGATGTTTTCTCCCAGTGAAGTGAAATTTGAGTGCAGCCTATAGGGTATCTTCAGCTTTTCATTATGTGAAAACTTACAATTTCTTGCCCATGCTTTTGCAACCTGGGCTAGTGCTGGGTCCCAAGTCTGCAAAAATAAATATTAAACAACAAGAGGGTCAAGAGTGGAACCTGCTATCCAACAATGTAACTGGAGTTAGCAAAGTGGGAATTTGGGGCAAGTGGTGTGATGGCAAGAATAGAGAAGTAACCATTGTGTATGGGTCCTCTATGTAAGTGGGTCTTCAAGGAATAAGCAGGGCTCGTAGGAAACATGATCATCTAGTTCTGTGAATTTGAAAATCCGGATGATTGACACAGACCAACATTTCACCGAAGATCCATTCTATGTTTTCCTCACTATCTGAAAGCAGAGCAGACTATGAAACCTTTTGTAAAGTTTCAAAAAGTTTCGAAAACCTTTTGAAAAGTTTCGAAAAGTTTTGAAAACTTTTGTAAGTCAAAAGGTTTCAAAAGGATGGAAAAAGGATGGAAAGCGAAAAAGCAATTATCTCAGGACACATCTTGTTAATGGATGCATAAAGTAAATTGAACTGAAAAACAGATGTTCACAGACACAGATCAAAGCTGTGGCAGCTTCACACTGCAATGCTGAGTGTGGTTCCTGGGAGGAGCTTGGAATCACCACCCTCGCTGCTCAGGGTGCGGCTGCTTCTGTAACGGCAGTGAAACAAACACTGGCTGTTACTTTTGCATTTCACTTTTTTCCCTTAGAAGCAAAAATCCTCTTCAGATTTCGCTCAGTTGGCCAAAACAGGTCTAAATGTCGGTCTTTCATAAAAGTAAAGTGGCATGAAAACTTTTGAAAAGCGAGGGATACCTGTATGTGCAAAATACTGTGTACTGTTTCACACATTTTATCAAATTTAACAACCACAATACCTTATATCTCAAAAATTATGGTCAGAAATGTTAAAAACCAGCTCAAAGCCACAGAACTGGTATTCAAACCCAAACCTAAGTGACTCAAAATCCTATCTTCCCCCAGACTCTATGCTGTCTTCCTGAAAAAGGCAATACTCTTCTAGCAACAAAAAAGTAAACTTAGAGACAACACAAACAAAAATCGCTCACAAAAATTAAAAGGGGAGAAGATGACAGAAAGAGAAGAGCGGCCTATCTGTGACCAAAGGAAAGGAAGTGTGCAAAATGAGAACTGAAATGTACTTGCTTAGCTGTCGATGGAGCTACGACAGGTTTGTTTTGATCACAGATGGTAAATTTACTGAGCACATAAATCACAATGAAAAAAGTCATTCATGGTTACCAAGGATTTGCCTCCAAAATCCGTATGCATTAGTTGTTTCTAACTGACTTATGCCACAGACACTGAGAGTTCACTTACCATGTAGAGCATATCACTGGCTCTTGGCTTCACCTCTGATCGAAACTTGTTATGAATGTGAACACAGTCTTTGATGAAACCTTCATTGTCGATGTCTGGCAAACGACTTGCTGAATGTGAATAACTGGAGACTACGGAAACCACCCAGGCTGTCACAGCGAGTGTGACTCTCATGGTCCGTTGGTCTGGCGTGGAGCCCAGGAGGCTGGAATTTGGAGCTGCTGCAGGTTCTGAGAGTGTGTTTGCTTGTCTCTCTGTTTCACACAGCACGGCCAGCTGACTTCAGCTTTAAGAAAGTAGAACATTAAGTGACAGCAAAATTATGGATATGAGTTTCTCCATATATGGTTTCTTGCTTTTAACCCTGTTTTCAGTGGTTCTCAGTGACACAGCACCTATTATAACAGATTTTTATGTGGCTGAGTCAGACTTTGGTTTGAGTTTAGCAGGAATCTCCAGAAATAACAGTTTCGATTTTTTACAGAGGTTCTGCTGGATAAATGAAGACAAATCTTTCACTTGTAGAAATGCCTTGTGAAAATGCTTTTTAAAACTTTTCTGGGAAACTCATCAGCACATGGTAGTTGAAATACCTAGTTAACATCATAACTTGACTTAGATATGCCCTTTTAAATACATGATGAGCTTTCTCATTTTCCTGGGGGAGAAATGATGTATAATTCCTTATACCCCTATCTATTCCTCTCTAATTAGAACCTATAAATATTTAGGCTCCAAAAGGCTCTAGTCACCTCTCCTTAAGGATGAGGATGGGTGGGTAGGAATAGACAAGGATAAAGATTCCAGAAAGGAGGAAGACTATTGTATTTACCAACCAAACAACAAACACATCACTGTTATATTGTCTGTGTGGTAATACTTCACATAATACCTGGAGATAAGCCAGTTTTAGGTATGCCAGTGTATATAAGTTAGCGCCATCTAATTCGTATGCAATGAACAATGAGCTCTAAAGTACTGTAATCAGAAATCTGCACTCCGAATGTGGTTTTAGCACTTTAGAGATGGTTATGGAAATTGACACCAGAGTCTGCTAATTAGGTTAGGGAATGTCCAAGAATAATTTCCTCTAGCAAAATAAGTAGTATTCAAGATGGATGGTTTGTAGGAAAATTGAACATGCCCTCCTGCCATGGCATAAATGAGGGGTAAAGAAGCAGCCAAGCAAAGCTCTCTAGAGACTTGTCACAGAGGCAGGCCCCTGTCCCCAGCCTCAACCCAGTTCTGACTTGAGAATGTATTTCACAGGAGTCTCTCTCACAGTTGTATGTTTGGAGTGTCGAAGGACTGAGCAGGGCTGTTTCTGTAACTGTTTGCTAATGAATGTTTAGGCAGTTAACAGCATTTGTCCAAGACTTGCTTTTGTAGGAACATTATTGAGGTTGTGGCGGAAGGGAAAGTAGCCTTTGAGTGACCAACTCCCACGGCATCAGGCCACCCATTTCATGAAAATAACCTGACTGCGGAGACCATGGTGGTCTAGGCCAGCTGGCAGCAGCGATGACAAACCCCAGCCAGGTTTTGGTCATGTTCATTAACTCACTGTGCTCTCACAGCAACTGTGTGTGACACATATTATTATCTCTACAGATGATAATACCAGGAGAAAAGGAGGTTAAGTAATTGGACCAAGAGCATGATGCTAGGAAGATGGTAGTATAGGGTCTGTCTGATTGCAAATCCTTTTTTCTAGTTGTTAAGTGCACAGTTTCTTTAAGTTGTCTGGGTTCAAATCAAGGCCTTTGTACTCACTGCAGGACTTTGGACTTTTTACTGCTTTGGGCCTTTTCTTCCTTATCTGTAAAATTGGGATATAATATAGTAGTACCTCCTCATTGGATGGATAAGAAATTATTTGTAAGAGAAGTCTTAGAAAGTACCCTGATACACAGTAAGTACCATGCATATTAACTATTATTACTGTTACTTCCCTTTAGTTATCCTAGTTATAAATATGCATATTCCATAGGTACATTCAACATAGAACATTTTCATATATTATAGCATTACATTTAGATAAGCTAATTGTTCAGAAAAAATATATCTTGACATCATAAAAATTATTGCTGTAGATTCACAATGGATAGTGATACAGATTATATCATACATGCAGAAATTTGTTTGTTAAATGAGGGCATGATTTTATGCAATTTTGTATCCTGCTTTTTGTTTCTACTTACCATCAATTTATTAGTATGTTTTTCGTTACTATGACATTTCGTAGAAGTTTTGAGGGTTGCACAATACTTCCTCAAGTGAATGAGACATAATTTACATAACAAATGATTGTCGGATATTCAGAGTTCTTTCCATTTTTTTTTATTATAAATAATGCTGCTGTGGATATCTTTATACACAAAGCAGAGCCCATATTTAGTAAAATTGATTTCCAGAAAGAGAATTACTGGGCAAAAAAGTATAAGTGTCTTAAAGATTTCAAATGTAGAATGTCCAATTACTCTCTTAGAACTTGTGCTACCACATCATATGGACATTGAGACCATGTATTATTTTAAAGATCAGAACTATGTGTATACATGTATCAGGTTGTTCGTTATTACCAGAGAACCAGAGCCAGACACTAGTTAAGGCAGTAAAGATGGATTTTATTCAGAAACTACTGCAGTATGGGAAAAGAGACCTCAGTATAAATTGTGCTCAATTCTGAATACAATAAAGGAAGCGAAGGATTTATAGCAAAGGAGTAGAGTTGGAGTAGGGGGAGGGGAATGGGTGAATGGACTATTACTAAAAGCAGGCCACAGTGATTAGATGTCAAGGGTTGGAACCTAGGAATCTGGTTAGGTATTGAGAGTGATAAGATATCAAGGCTGGGAGACAATCTCTCTAAACTGACTTGGCAGGATTTTTGCTAGGAGTGGTCAATGCAGGTCTGGCAAGGATGGGGGAGGCGGTGAGATTGAGGCCTCTTGGAAAACAGGGTTTAGAGAAATCTGACTAAAGTTTGGCCAAAGAGAGTGTTTTGTCCATACGCATATTTAAGTACTTCCTTTCTTCTCTCTCTTTGCATTCTTCATTTTAGTTTATCCCTTCTTAACTTTAGCTGACCTCAAGACATAGGTTTTCCAAAGAAGCCACAGTGGAAATTCTAAATTTTGCCTTTGATTTGTTATATGATATAACAGGGGAGACAGCACCCAGATCAAATTTACAAACCCTGGGACTGATTCTGCTTATGTTTCAGCAGAGTAGTCACTTATTAAAATATGAATTTAAAGATAATGTTACAATGAGACCTGAGTAACATACATTTCTAAACTCTTAAACATTCCTATACTTCTCTTTCTACAAATAATTCTAAAAACTGCCTTCAGCACAGATATGTTTCAGAGAAAAATGTTTATTGAAGGTTCACATGTTTTTGTTGCATTTCTTAATGTGGTAATGGTCCAAATATGGGTGAGCTCAGTGTCAGCATAAACTCTGCCTGGAGTTCCCTTTTCAGTTTCTCTACAGAGTAATGCTGTTCTGATCTAAGTAAAGCAAAAGAGAAATTCTTCTATGCACTCAGTTCCTTCAGGGCCTCTCTGCTCTGTTGACAGCAGAGGAGGATTCATAGGCTTCTGCAGTTATACCCGCAGCCGCCCGGTAGCTGAGCAAAGATCTCTGTACCAGTTGTGAACAGGAAAATCAGCTCTTGTGTGGAGAGGAGGCGTGTTGTTTCCAATAGCAACATGCTTTCATCTTCTACCGATTAGCTTGTACAGTGCCCAAGAATGGGGAAGTTGAATAGTTGTATGTGAACTACTCCACCTACTCAAAGAGTAAAGCCTCAGCTTTCTTCTGCCAGTTCACATGACAGAATGGCCTTCTCCTTTTCATTTCATGGTGTCACATAGTCCAGCATGTTCTCAGTTAATGTGTACTTTATTATGATCCTAGGGAGTATGTATTACCTAGATGCATTTTTGAGGAGGAAATTGAGGGCCAGCATTAAGTAATTTGTTCAAGTTCACACAGTTAGTAAAGGGAGTTACACTCGGGGTTATAACTCTCCTTTAAAGCGATGACTCACACATCTTGTGCACTAGAATATCCACTCTATAGCAATCCATCTGTGCTTTTAAGCAGCCTCCGTGGATACGGCCAAAGTTTGAGAACCGCTGTTTTACACCATGATGCTTCTCTTTGCCTGGATAACATCTGATCTGTGTGTAAGCACTTAGGCCGAAGGCACTCATTCGCTCTCTTTCACTGCACCTTAGGACATTGGGACCAAAATCCTCCCAGCTTCGTACTGCTGCTTCCAGACCATCTACACAGCCTTTCCGCAGTGTACTTCTTTGAGGCGTTATGAGATTCACTTATACTGGATTCTGCTCTTGCCATCATCGCCCTCAGACCTCCCCTGCAACCCGTGAGGACTAGTTTTGTCTTCATTTGAATTACCTAACACTCGACCCACAAGCTTTTATCCAACTCGACTTTGTTGATTTTCACAAAGGCATATCCTGGGCCTTACCAGCTGGAGTTTGTCTACCTCCAGGCCCCACCCGGAGTTGCTCTGTCTCCAAATTCTTACTCTTCAGCCTCAATTTTCTTCCTCCCACCTCTCAAGCACTGGCACTGTCCTTGCGACTGAGCCTGCTTTCAACATTTCTGGTGACTCCCAAGCCTCTCACCTGCTTACTCTTTCAGCCCATCACCCCCCCACTCCAACCTGTTTTCATTTCTTTTCATTATCTTGCCTGCGTACCAATAATAAAAAAAATCATAAGCACGTTCACACTAGTATCTTCGCTACTCTCACTCTTGAGATTTCCCTGTGAGCTAGTTCAGCCCAACCTACATCAAAAATTGTTTGTTTTTCTAGTCTCTATTAAGTGGAACTGCAGAAAACAGAAAAACTATGCTGATGGGCATCACAGTTTGTTGTTGTTCAGCAACACTTAAAATCAGATCCACATTTTACTTTGAGCAGTGGCTTATCCAAACATTTTGCAACTCCAAAGCTACCTACCCACCCTGAGATCTGGTTTCCTACAAGCTTCTAAGCAGGCAGCAAATGCCAGGTTTTTCTGCAACTTAGTGTTTTTGTTCCTTTTGATCCAATTTATCACTTCCTTCTCTGTCAAACTTGTGTTCATCATGTGAGGTCCAGCTCAAATAGTGCCTTTTCATTGTTGCATTTGTTGACTCCCCTGAGCACCCCGTCTCTGTGCTCCCGTGTTCCCTTACCTATACCTGTCTTTTCCACAAAACTATGAGGCAGAAGCAGTTTG